GGTGGTGGCACCTACAGTCCCAGCTATGTAGAGGTTGAGGCAGGAGGATCGCTTGAGCCCAGGAGTTGGAGGCTGCAGACTGTAATGATGCCACGGCACTCCAGCCTGGGTGACAGAGCAAGATCCTGTCTCAAAAGAAAAGAAAAAGAAGTCATCTAAATGTCAATCAAAACAAATGAGAACAAATAAATTATGGCATACACATTACATGGATTTCTAGACAACAGTGAAAATAACTACACTGGTCAATGTGGATAAATCTCATAAAAATAATGTTGGTTAAGAAAAGTAACCCACAGAGGATTATATACAGAAGGATATCGTTTATATATGCTTTATGCAAAACAGACCAGTATTGCTTAGCGATACATACATATGTACAAAAATTATGAAGAGAGGTGTTGAGGTGATGAACATACAATCCAAGGTAAGGGATATTTCTGAACAGGAAGGGATGCAGGTAGGGAGGGTGTACAGGAGATTTCAAACTTTATTAACAGTATTTTATTTCCTAAGCTGGCGTGCGCGCAGACGTTCGTGCTGTTATTCTTTACGCTGCACGCCGCATCGGGAAGAATTTTTTAAATTACAACAAACAGCCAGTAGGTGGCAGGGAAAGCTGGCTATTTGCTGTGTCTGGCAGCATAAAACTTTCCTAATCACATAAAAATAGTGCCTCCTTTAAAGACACCGATCGCATATGACACTCCCCAAAGTAAAATAAATCAATCAGGGAAACCATTGTTTGCTCGTCCATGTGTGTCTGCTTTCGGGTATACGTTGTTCCTAAGAATAACACGGTGGTCTTTCTTTCAGAACCGAAGAGACTTTCCAGTGGGGCAACCCTGGCTTTTATTCTCCTAGTGCCACAACTGCAAAGCTTCTGTGACACAGGCTGTCACTGCAGGGTCCTGACAGCAGAGGGTCAGCTCAGCACGTCCTGTGCGCAAGCGTGGGAGCAAAAGCTGCGGCCGTCTCGTCCCCGCGAGCTTCTTCCCCTCCTTGGGTGCAGACCCTCAGCCGTACAGAAATGTCCTTTCACGCCCACCCGGAACAACTTTCTTCTCGGTTGGGGGGAACCCAACTGCCACAGAAATGAAACATTTATCCTGCTTTATGTAGAGCAACTAAGCAATACCGACCAGCTCTATAAAAAAGACCCGTCTGCACGTTTTCCTAGGTAAAACAGCGATCCTCTACCCGAGCGTTACTCTATTTTCTCCCGGAGCAGGGTTAGAATATTGAGGATCATGGTCTTAAGATACGTTTTGTGGGGCTACAGCTATTTGAAATGTGTTTTAATTGGTCAAAATTCAAAATCAGGAGCACCGACATCAAATTAAGATTTTAGGTTTCCCTCAAACATGGGACATTCTGGCAACACCATTCCATGTGGCGGCCCTGTCCCTGGACTGGGCGTGTGCAGGTCGCCTCACCCAGCCCTTTTCCTCAGGGTTATTCCCTGTTTGGTCTTGACAAAGTTTCTCTCCTTAACCAAACTCAGGCCAGGTCCTCCGAGCCCTTTCACCGCGAGACCCCAACCTCGGCCCAGAAAGAGCCGAACGAAACACTGACATCATTTCCGTCCGCTCAAGGCCACATCCCTAGGGTGACTCCAGCCTCCCTTTAAAGCGCCGGCCTGCGGAAGCTCCAGGCTGCTGAACGAATTCACTGTTTGCTCCAGCCAACGCCTGAAGACAGGGGCCCTGTCCCCAGCCTTTGTGGGTGGGCAGGACCCTGACTTGGACAAGTTCGGCCCGAGTTCCCCGCGGCGGACTCCTCCCTCGGCGGCGCTGCCGGCTGAAGCCTGCTCCCGACACCAGCGCGCGTGCTCTTCCCGCCCCATGCATTTCTCTGTGTCACCCACCTTCTGTCTCTGTCGCCCAGGACGTGAGCCCCTTGAGGATGCCAGGTCAGTATTTCCAATCATCTGTTTTGTTGCCATTTTCTTAAAATCATTCTTATCATACTTTTTTTTTTTTAAACAGCTAAAGGGAAGAAAGTAACTTAGTTTTCTTCTTTCCTCAGACACATCACCCACATCAGCCCAGATAAATGACTGGGGCAAAAATCTCAGTCAACGGGGGTTTATTGAGCCAAGACTTCGAGGACATGTCTGGGGAGAACATGACCGCAGAGAAGCTGTGGCTATTTTTTCTGAAGGGGACGTTGGGACCTTTGGCGTTTTAAAGGCATATAGAGAGAAGGAAAAAGGCAGGAGAGGTGGGGGCTGACGAGGTAGTGGCTGCATTTCCGGGAGGCCCAAGAAATCTACATTCTACATAAAATAAGGGAGTGAAGGAATCATCGGTTACGTAGATATCCCTGGCTAAGTGGAAGAATGTCTGATCCTGTCGTTTCCAGTTTTGTTACCTGTAAGATAAACTCACAATTCATTAATAACGCGGAATCGGACAGGCTCTAGTTTTCGGTGCTAGACACAGCACAACCGCACGTCTGCGTGTATGGGAGGTTGGCAAGAAAGTCCCGTAATGAGTGAGCTGTGGGCAGCTCTTCACCGTGCCTGAGGCTGTGGTTTTCTGTTTACACCCATGAGCTTCAGAAGCCTAGGTTGCCTGTATTCTTTTCTTCTCCGAAACTTCGAGTAAATTCTCCACGAGGATGTCACAAACTCATGGATTTGCTGGAAGGCTGCATCGTCTATAGAAATTTATTTTTTTCTACATATGTATAATGCATAAAAACTGCGATACTGGAGGAAAGTAAGTTGTATCATCACTAAATAGGACATTTACAGAAAAAAGTACTCAACTGTTCGTGTTACCAAAAACTTGGCACTTGTCCTCGAGGCCACATTAGAAGAATGAGAACAAATGGTTTGAGGAGAAGGAAAAAGTTTATTACTGTGCCGGCAAAGGAGGAAAAATGGTAGACCTTCTTGACTCCTAAGCAGAAATACAGAGCTTTTAAAGGGAGTGCCTTCAATTCTAGGTTTTGTGGTTAACTATTCTAATTGTCTCATCTCTGCCAAAGACAAAGCCCCACTGGGTCCACCTGGGGACTGGCACTGGCCTGGGACAAGAACAGAAGGCTTTCTCCCTGCCCCTCCCAACCACTGGCCTGAGGCAGGGATGCAGGTTTCAGTTTCAAAAAGGAGGATGTTTTAAAGAGACAGAAAATATTTTTGCCCTTTTGGCAGGCCCTTCCGCCCGTTACATATTCCCGCTCTCAATTTTACACTTCCGTACAGATGGAGGAGGGTGATTACTCTGTTACATTAAGGTGTTGAAACCGCCCTTTACAAATCGACAAAGGGGCGCGAGGCGAGAGCTGTGGGAAGGGCCTAGACTGAGGCCCAGGCCTAGCTGGTGATGTCAGCCACTGTCCCGTTTGCTCTCTGTGGCTGCTGCCTGGGGCCACACGGCTGGCGGTCACAAAGACTCTCAGCTTTCTCCGCATAACAGCACCGTTTGACACCTAAAGTAGTTTCTGAGACATCTTCCAGGCCCCGCATTCCAGGGAACAGCTGACGCACACTGGCGGCCCATACCAAGAGCTGACTGAGCCGGTATTGCGACCCCCACCCAAGAACCGACCCAGCAAAGAAGACAATTTCTACACCTCCATGGTTCCGCGCCGAACCCAGCCGAGGAGCAGGCCCAATGGCCTAGCCTTTTGCCTACCACGCTGTCTTTAAAAACCCTTTCTCCCAAATTTTCCGAGAGATGAATTTGAGAAATCACTCCTGTGTCCTCGCATGGCGCCTGCGACATTAACTCTTTCTCTGCGGTGACCCTGCTGTCGCAGCAAATCGGCTTCTTGGGCAGTGGGCAGTGGACCCGGGTGGGCGGCAACACTGGGCGTGAGGGTCCCTCTTTCCTCTTCCTGCTCACGTGTATTTTCTGCACAAACGTGTAGTAGCAGTAAAGTAAGGGGGAAACCAATAAAAGGTATTTGAAAAATGCAAGTGACCAAATTATACAGTTGTTATTATTGTGGAAACTCTGAACACATTACATAGATATTTAGAAAAAGACTTCAGAGGCAAACTTTTGAGGGGCATTTTTTATTATAAATTTAATATGGTTGATTAATGAAAAATCACAATGAAGTACCAAGAAAATGTTTGTCAATATAAAAATTTTAGCAGCATTTCCATAGTTTCAGGCTCTAACATTAGTCGTACTTCCTCCCTCCCACCGTCAAAAAAGAAGAGAACCCAACGGGATTACAGTAGAACATCAGGACGTCCAGCTTAGCGAAGGCCTCAGAGAAATCCTCAAATCCAGTGTATTTTCTACCATTTCAACTCTCTTCCCCCGCCCCAAATTTCTACAACGTCAAAGCACATAAAAAGCCTCATCTGCTTTAACATTTGAAACGAGAACTCTGTTCCTCAGGCTGCAGGGAGAACAGGGGTGAAAACTGAAACTGGATTTGGTACGAGTGCTCTATCACCCGGCCTCCCAGCCGCACGTTCTCCACGCTGGTGACAAGGGAAGGCCACCGCAGGGCTGCGCGGGATCCGCCACGTGGCGGCGGCGGCGGCGCTGCTGGTGGGTGGGGGCCGCAGCGTGGCGCGTGCCAGGCACTCGGTGGTCCTGCTCCCCCGGGAACGGTAGTGATCCATGAAGAGGGAGCCAGACAACATGAAAACGTAATACTGGCAAACTATTCCCCTGCATCTTTGGTACTTTCCAAAATTCTCTGATCAAAAAAGTATAAGGGAAGCACATCATTAAAAAAATTACAGGTTTAAGTATTTACAAAAGCAATGATGATATATTACAGAATAATCAATACACAGTATATGAACAAACGCCTCAGTGAAAGCACTTGTGACCTCGTCCCGGCGCTGTCTGACAGCGCGCCGACCGACGCCCGCTCCCCAGGCTGGCACCACGTCCGTGTCTCACTCGATTACAGTATATCAGAAGGGAAACGTATCATTTCCCAATCAAAACTTTCCTTTTGAAAGGCTCTTAAAATTTGCCACTGAAATCGTTTATGTACAAGATTTACGGAATATCGAATTCTAGGCAATGATCTCCACTCCCGTTTTGCGTATGTTTGAAATAATGCTACCTACTCTATGTATACAATATATATTCAATATGTAAGTAACCGCACCACTTTATGTCACCACGATACCGTGTAATACATAGTGTTATGTACAGCAGTCAGGTTAGCTCTGGAAGGAGAATCTCCGCAGCCTGGTGAGTGGCATGGCGGGGAACCCCTGAAAGGGATGTGGAGAACTGGTCACGAGGGAGCCACGCGTGGCCGGGACGTGTGCACACACCTCCCACGCACCCACACCAGACCATCCCTCCAGCTGTTTCCGGCTGCAAGAAGACGGGTCACACGTATGGCAGGACCCCGTACATAAGGAGCGCCATGATGGCCGCGCTGAACAGCCCCGCCACGGGCACAGTCACAAACCAGGCCACGAAGATGTTCCGGAAGAGGCGCCAGTCCACGGCCTTCCGAGAGCGGATCCAGCCCACCGCCACCACCGAGCCCACCTGCGGGAGAGAGGCGCACAGTTACAGGTGAGACACCAAAGCTATGTTCAACCCGTGTAAACGGGTTCATCTCAGAAACAAGCTACATGATAAAAATGACCAAATCTTTCCCCTAAGTTTGGTAAAGCTTTTAAAATAATTTAGATTCCAGGTTTAATTGTTTTAGGATTACTTTATTCAGTGTATAGTTCTGATGCACTCGTCTACCTATATCCTGCTCTATTTGAGTGGAAGTTAGGCCAATTAAATGTTTTCTATTCTTGCTAAACCTTATAAACGAACTATGAATGTCCTTGTTTTAAATATTCCCTCACAGCTTATTGCTTATTACAATATGTGAATCTGCTTTTCTTGCATGATGAAATGGCAGTAATGAACCCTTCCCTTAGAATAACAGAATCCGGAAATGTGGGAGCTGGAGAAGACCTTTGGAAACCTCTAATCCAGTGGACTCATTCTCTCACAGGGTAGCCGGGATCGCCTTAGGGCGTGGGAGGAGAGACTGAATCGGAGGCAGGTTGAGAACTAGAACTCAGGCCTCCTGACTTTAAACTGGCTTTCTCCACCGTCCCTGCAGCCCTTAGGCTTCAGCTAATGAGAATAAATAGATGAATAAACAAATAAATAAATAAAAAGGAGCATAAATATTAGGAGCATAAATATTATTGAATCTAAACTGTCAATCATGACTCACAAAATTAGATACCTGAAAATCAGAATGTTAACCCTGATTCCAGTATTTTTCTAAACACTTGCAGTTTATTTATTGTTTGCTGAAATTTTAAAAAGGAAAAAAGATATAACTGTAAGTATCTTAGAACATTGAAATCATAAGCAAATACAGTAACCATAACATGTCACATGTCACATGTCACGTGGGGACTGGTTAAGCTCCAAGAGAGTTTAGCAGGCTGCCCCTTGGTCACATGCAAGGTGGATTTTGAAGATCTCCATAAAATATGCTTCATCTTTATTGAGCCCCAAATACTTGAGAATTAGCAGTGGCCGATGAGGTTCAAACAGGAAAGGCGATTTAAAGCAGCAGAGGTCTAGCCGTAGAAAAGTAAAACCTAACACTTTAAATTTTATCTGGAAGCAAACTAGAACACCAAAACCCAGCAGCACCTTTAAAGGCAAAGTTAACCTGATGCTTTGTCAGCTAGAACTGTGATTAACCCGCAATTCCGTACATCTCCAGGATGACAACTAACCACCTGTGTGGGGCCAGCAAAATGAGGATTTCGCTTCAGTTCTTTGGCTGTAATCGTGTGCTGTAGGAACATGATGATCCTCAGCAGTTCATAGAACATGCCGGACATCAAGATTTTCCTACGGCAGGAAGATCAGCTGGGTTCCTTCTGTTGGTCAAAAACAGGCAAATCCACAATCCAAGAATTGGATTCAATTCTTCCATTCTTCCGTCACGCGCCGTCTCTCTAGAGCACTTCCCTTCCCAAGAGCTTTTGGTTGTTCTGGACTCTCAGTTCCAGGTTTACCTTTGCCTCTTCCTTTCTTCAAACAATTTTTTAAAAAAAGGTATATCAGTAGCATAACAATACTATTACAAGTTTGTGTAATCAGAGGGGTAGACAATTACCCAGAACCCACTTTTGTCACATTTATATATTGCTTTCTGGTCTTAAGTATACCTTTATTTGTAAATAATAGGGTACACTACTATTTCCTTTCCTTAAAAGAATTAACATTATAAGCATCTTTTTACAATGCTGCGCAACGTGTATGATTATCATGTGAAATGGTACACCTTTTTGGTGGATGTACCTTAATTTACTTAATCATTTCCAATTTGCTTCCAATTTTTCCCTATTAGAAAAGTTCCATGACTAGTATATTCATTCATATAGCTTATATTTAGGCTTTAAAAGTAATATTCCCTGAAGTTGATGATTAAAGGAGAACATTTAAAATATACCTTGAAATAGTTTGAAACCTGGAAAAAAGCTGCAAGAACTCCCATATATCCTTTACCCAAATTCACTCGTTTTTATAAATTATTACTATTATTTTTAGAGACAGAGAGTCTCACTCTGTCACCCGGGCTAGAGTGCAGTGGCACAATCATAGCTCACTGCAACCTCAAACTCCTGGGCTCAAGCGATCCTCCTGCCTCAGCTTCCCGAGTAGCTGGGACTACAGGTGCTTGCTACCATGGCCTGCTAATTTTTAAAATTTTTTTGTAGAGATGGGGGTATCACTATGTTGCCCAGGGTGGTCTTGAACACCTGGGCTCAAGCGATCCTCTCACCTCAGCCTCCCAGAGTGCTGGGATTTACAGGCATGAGCCACCGTACCTGGCCTACTGTATTTTTTTTAGACTCCTTGATTCAATTGTTACTTAAAAGAGCATTAAATGATGTCCAAGAGGATACATTATTTCAATATATAATTAATTTCTAGTTTACTTTCATTGTGATTAGAGATTGTGGTTAACATACTTCTGTTTTGAAAATTATCATGGTCTTTTGAATTTATGATGAATTTCTATAATGTTTCCTGACGCTTGACAAGAAGGCATATGATCAGTAGGGTAAAACTTTGATACTTACTTAGGAATTATACTGCTCTAAATATACTGCTCAGATCTTTTGTATTTCTGCGTACTCTTTCTCTATGTCATCTGTCATAGGCTTAGACATACTAATTTCTGAGTTCTGACAACTTTATATATTTAGCGATATGTTCTTTGGATCATATTAATAAAAATCCAGAGTATGATGTCTTCACTACCATGTGTTTTGTTGATATAAAATGATATTCTTTGCTGTGTTTTCACTTCCCTTTAATAAACTGAGTGTGTTTCCAGTTTAAGGCCATCTTCAGGTACTAATAGCAATAGAATTATGGAGAATTGGAGAGCCGGACTGCAAGAATTACAAATTAAATTAGAAATTATAATCCTTCCTTTTAAAATCAGTAGTGTTTCCTATATGCTGATACAAAGTTCAGCAATGATTATGTCATCAACAAAGGCTGACAGCGCAGGTGATCCACAAAAGGGGATAATCTCAATCCGCTCCAACACGGAATTAAAACATTTGGGTAACATTACTCCAGATTCCTCTCAACAGCTCACAGTGCATGCCTGCATTCAGTAGTGGTCACTACGTGTTGCATGTCAGGGCTAAAGACCAAAGTTGATTAAGGTTCGGAGAATGGCAGAATAATTAACGAATTATTGAAACATACATCTGAGGATACTTTTATTTCTAAGACTAGTTTCTTTAATTAAGGCTTTTGATCTTAATTGAGGTATTATCCCAGGAAAATATCTAATGAGCTGAGTCCTCCGATATGAAATACAAAAATGCATAAACTGAAATACTCATAGAGAGCAAAACTCATAAAGCAAATTGTCACACCTTCTGGAATAAAATGTGATGACTGCTCTAATTATTCTTTTTCTAATTATACATTCACCGTCCATTTGTGTCACATAATGGGATTTCATAAATGTTTAAAATAGGGGACAAGAAAATTTACACACTTAGCTATGTACACTTAGAAGGAAGCATGAATAAAAGACATCTACCCAGATAAATTCAAAAGCTCATTTTAAACAATAGTTTCCATCTTTTGTCCTGCCAAGATCCAGATCCCAACTTTTGCCCACCTTCCAATGGATGGCTCTAAGCAAGAAACTCACACATCGAACACAAGATAATTATTCCTGAAAATCTCATGTGATTCAGCTACGATTTTATGTGGCCATGAAGACCCTTCAAATGTTCCCACGTTCATGGCTTCCCTCACAAGGGGCTCCATTCTTTTTTCTCTTTTTTATTTCAGCATATTATGGGGGTACAAATGTTTAGGTTACATAAATTACCTTTGCCCCCCCCGAGTCAGGGCTTCAATCGTGTCCATCCCTCAGACGGTGCGCATCGCACTCACTACACGTGTATATGGCCACCTTCTCCCCCCTCCCACCTGCCTGACACCTGATGAATGTTATCACTATATGTGCACTTAGGTGTTGATCAGTTAACACCAACTTGATGGTGAGTACATGTGGTGCTTGTTTTTCCATTCTTGTGATACTTCACTTAGTAGAATGGGCTCCAGCTCTATCCAGAATACAAGAGGTGCTAGATTGCCGTTGTTTTTTATGGCTGAGTAGAACTCCATGGTATACATATACCACATTTTATTAATCCACTCATGTATTGATGGACACTTGGGCTGTTTCCATATTTGCAATTGTGAATTGTGCTGCTATAAACATTCAAGTGCAGATGTCTTTTTTAATAGAATGCATTTTGTTCTGGATAGATGCCCAGTAATGGGATTGCTGGATCAAATGGTAGATCTACTTGTATCTCTTTAAGGTATCTCCATATTGCTTTCCACAGAGGTTGTACTAGTTTGCAGTCCCACCAGCAGTGTATGAGTGTTCCTATCTCTCGAGGGCCCCATTCTTAACACCATCCCATGGCTTGCATAGTTCATCCTACGTTTGCCATTTGGAGACCGCTGCATGCAGAGGAAATAAATGTGATGTGAGAGAGTAAGTGTTAGGGGTGATGGCCCTTAGCACTTCTACTACTTGGGCTTTGATGGGATCATTTGCTCTCTGACTGCACTGCTAGTTCTTCAAAGCCAGGACTCTGTCCTTAGCTCCTGCAGTGACTAGCTCTGTCCAGAAGTCCATGATCAGTGATATTGGACAAACTGACTACAATCCACATCTGTGCTGTTTCCTTTTTTTTTTCTTTTCTTTTTTTTCATTTTCTTTTCCAAACCAGTTTCAACTTGGACACATCTGTGCTGTTTCACCTCCTTTATAGATGACATACCACCGCAGTCCCATGGAAAGAAGTCAGGGTTTAAGTGCCAACGAGCTATCCTAATAATACTTATCATTAGCTTGAAGGAAATAAAACTTATCATGGATATGTAGATATTTTAGGATAATGATAACATATATTCAGTAAGGTCCCATACAAAATGGATAGAAATCCCTTAGGAACACCTCCTTATTATGGTATATATAGAAATACAGTATTAGGGAAACAACACAAAGATAATCTAAGAGTTTTGTTTTTTTAATACAATTTTTATACTTTTTATCTATTTCTATGAATTGTATTCTAGAGTTTAGTATTATTAGCACAATTAGTATTGTCAGTTTTAACACTTTATACATTAGTATAGATTCGATTGTTAATGCAGTTAGGTAAGTAACAGCAACCTAGAAAAACCAAACTTGTGCTGATTTTTTAAGAGATCTTTCAACTTGCATGAAAGAGTTTGCTTAAGTGCAGGGTTAATCATTAAAAAGACAGTGTTACATTTATTTAAAAACAGTCCAAAGCTGGGTGTGGTGGCTTACGCCTGTAATCCCAGCACTTTGGAAGGCCGAGGTGGGAGGATCATGTGAGGCCAGGAGTTCGAGACCAGTCTGGGCAATGACCCTGTGTCTACAAAAAATAAAAAAAATTAGCTGGGCATAGCAGCTCGTGCCTGCAGTCCCAGGTACTGGGGAGGCAGGAGGATTGCTTGAGCCCAGGCATTGGAGGCTGCAAGGAGCTATGCCTGTCTCAAAAAAAAAAAAAAAAAAAAGAAGCAATGCAAAAGATTATTTATGCCTACAGAAGAGTTACAAGCCTAAACCTATTTCCTTGGGAACGGACATATTTAGCAACATGCATTTCCTCTCTGTTCCCACATGTCACAGTGAATTGAAGTGAGGTGAAGAGGGAAGATGGCACTTTTCATTCTGTATAGTTTTGCACTGTTTGGAATATTTCAGTGAACATGCACTTCTTTTGGTAATTTTCAGACAACCCAAATTAGCAAAGTAACAGTGAGTGAGTAGCAAGTCATGCTGCCTCCGCCGGTGCCTCGGCGTGGCCGCTCCCTGCCTGCGCAACCCCGCGCGTTACCGAACCTTCCCCTGCCTCGGCCTCCGCATCTGTGAAGCCAGGGGGCCATTCGAATTCTCTTCCAACGGTCCTCGGGAAGATGGGCTGCTGCAGACGCCTCCCCGCCGCTGGGCACCACCACTGCGACCAGCGCGACCACAGTCTGGAGGCCGTAGCCTGAGGCGGAGGTTTGAACCCTGGCTCTGTTGCATGCTGACTGCGTGAACGTGAACTCGGGAAAGTGCCCCAACTCTGGGAGCCTCGCGTCCTCATCTGCGAGCTGGGAACATCAGTTCCAAGGCACGGGGCTGCCAGGCGCCGAAGGACGCATCACATGTGTCTAACACGCTAAGCACAGCGCCTGCCACTAGTGAGCAGGAGTCATTTTTATAATGGAACTTTGTAGAAATTGAAGTTTTTCTATATAATGTAGCAAAAAAGGAAAAGTGAAATTATTTCCAGTGAGGCTGATTCTTTACACCAGAGTCCCAGCCTCGTCTTACTCGCGCCGCCGCCCCCCGAAATACTCTCCCAGGTGCCCCCTGACCTCAGCACTCGAAATGCGCAGCCATCTGCATTGACTTGGTATTTGTTTATAAACATGTGGGTTGGAATTTCAAAATTGTGGGTAAGTAAATGTCACTGGCTGTGTCTGCCTCGGTAGCTGTGTTCCTCCTGGCGCGCAGACACACAGGAGGTACAAATATGTTTTCCTGAAATGATATGAATGAACGAACGCGGGAAAAATCTGGAAGTGGCTTTTGATTTGTTGAGGCTGGCGAGCATTTCTGTATGCAGGAGGGCACTGTAGATATTTAGGGTTACGTCCAGACACCGGCAGGCCTGGCTCCGCCCTGCCTGACCTTGGCTAACTCCCTGCAACTCGGGGAGCCTGTTTCCGCTTCGCCAACCTCAAGGTTCCTCCTCAGCAACGACGCTCCCCACCGGGACCCGAGCTCCCTCCTGCGCAGCTCCGAGCTGCAGAGCCCTCGGCAGCGGTCCGCACTAGGAATCACCCTTCAGGTGGAATTTTCTCTAAGGCAACAGAGTCACTCTGGACATCACATAAGGAAAAACACTGGGGCAACTTGTCTTCCGACTCCACTGAGGTGATTGCTGTTTATTTCTATTCCCACTGTCAACTCCCAGCCCTGCAGCGGTGACACCGAGTGGCGTGCCCCCGTGTGAGCCCACGAACACGGTCAGTGCACACGTGACTTCATTGCAAAGTCCACCGTGGAAGCAGCGAGAGGAACAGGAGCCAGGGCGAGGGGCACACGTTCAAGGAGGCAAAGCCCAGCCTGGCGCGCGGGGAACGCAGTCTGAGGGGCGCGTGTCGCCGGCGGCGGGGACCTACCTTGCAGTGCGTGGTGCTCACGGGAAGGCCCACGTTGGAGGCGATCACCACCGTGAAGGCCGAGGCCAGCTCGATCGTGAAGCCGCTGCGGGAGGGAGCACAGGAAGACACATCACAGGCGCCCTTTGTGTCAGCCTCCTGCGGGGGCCAGACTCTTACTAGAACATTCTTTGGGTCAATTGTTGACTGCTGACGGGGCAGGACCAACTTTAACACAATGGCCACAATTCACACCAAGACTCCGCACTGTGCCTGCGCAGCCTGAGCGGCTTGCTTTTGTGATATGTTTTCAAAAACCACACACTGTAGTAACTGGGTCAGAAATTCCTGCTGTGTAGTAATGAGAGAGTAAACTGGCCGTTTCTGAAGCAGCACAGGAAAAACTATGCTCCCATTTAAAAAATTGTACTTATCACAAAAAAGTGA